GAGGCTTCCGAGGCCGAGATCCATCCGTTGTATCATCGACAAACCACGTAGAAGCGGAAGAGCAATCCCATATTGTTGATAGGGACAGGCATAATGATGTCGACCATTATGTCGACCAGTCGATAGGCTGAATAGGGAGGTGTCATTCCACCCTGTATGCGTCCTCAGACACGGACGCAAAGGCTGGCTTGCTTGAATGACCCCGTGGCCTTGGGCCATTGAGAAGCTTGGCTAGCAAACTCGCGTCGTACGGGGCCCTCACCCCCTGCCAGAGTACCTCGTCTACGGCGGCTTTGGTTCTTTCCCGGTACTTTCACTCGACGGCTTGGCGATAGACAGCTTTCTGTTTTGCGCCATCAGTCTACACGCCCTGGAACCGTATTCCAGCAAAGAGACCACCAACGCAAGGCAACGCACGTCTTTTCGAATAGGAGACTGGGGGTACTGGGAGCTCTCCACACAATTCAATGTCCCTTCACAGTTGTCTCAGAGTCTGCACAACCCATTTGCTCATGCGTGGGGACTGGCCCCCGCCCTGCCTTCCGACTTCGTCTTCCTTGCCTTCGACTCCATGGCCGCCGGCAGTGTGCTTGGAAAATTTAGGTATCTGCTCTTTCTCTTGGTCTGTGCGACATATGTCGAGCAGTAGGTCGCATGTTGAGCCTCCAATCCATCTTCGCTGGTTTTGTGCGATCTCCAGCCAGCCACATCTGGGGGCCTGGTATATAGACACCTGGTTTCCAAGATCCTGCACTCTGTTGGTCTTTTCGCATCTTCTTGATCTGACCGTTCATTTCAAAATACCAAGCCTTTCCTCGGACGTCGAACCCATCAACGCAGGCATCGAAACTAGCTCGCCAAAGCTTCCTCGCATCAAGCACGCTACAACGACGGAGCTTATACATCCTCGCGCCATCACAGTTGAAGTCCTGTCAGCTTATATAGCAAATCCGTCAATTGACTGATTTGCGCAAAAGTCGAACGAGACTCAGAGACCGTGAGTACAATTATCTCCTTGTTTTATGCTTGGTTGATTCTCACTCATCCGTTTCCTGGATGACGAATGGCAATGAGATTTGCACCAGGGGGCGTTGGCTTAGACCCATATTGCCGGCTGCACCGCGCCAGGCCCCGACTCGTCTCTATTTGAGGGGTTTGTCGGCGCTCGGAGGGGATTTCTTCTGAGGCGCAGGCGTCGAATTGAACGGAACAGGAGCTGAAGCTGACGGTCTCCAGGTAGCACAATTCGTTCTGCTCTTCTTCCTGCGAGTGAGTGAGCATCCGTCCCATAATGTTTGATTCCTCGGGGGGAACGACCGAGTGGATCGCTGGTACTCGAACGAACGTCCAATACAAAAGACGACGAGTGGAAGTATGCTGTATGGCGCAGAGTGGACGTCGAGTTAAGCTGGCTGGCTTGTCGATTTTACCGGCACATCTGCGTGGCTTACGCCGTACCCGTCAATGAATGGCGGTGTCCCTAACATGACCAATCCTGCCGGCTTACGGGGTCAAAAGAAACGACCAGTCTCCTTCCCGGCGAACATCAACCTCAGTTGCTGACAGCAGTTTCAAAATGTTCAGGTCGAGCAGGATAAAGGGCTACAGAAAAACCCTTGGTATGACCGGAGCACTTTTGGAGAGTCAACCGGTGAGTGCTATGAAAACCCATTTCTCAGGCCAGAGAGGGGGAGAGGGGGAGGGGATAAGACATATCAAGACCAGATGGAGCAAGGCAGGATCTCGTGTCAAGTCGCAGGAAACGCCCGCCAACCAACAGGAAGAGAGGGGCGTTCGGGTCTAGCGGGCAAAAGACGGACAAGGGTATTCTGGGAGAGCGTCAGCGTCACAGTTTGCTAACAACTGGGGGTTGGAAAAAAAGAGGATCGAGGAACTGGGGCGAGAAGACCGCTGCTCCAGCACCAGCACCAGTACCAGCACAGGTACGAGCGCAAGCATCAGCACCAGATCGCCGCCCATCTACTACGGCGCGACACCCCTCGTCGCCGGAGACGACCGTCGTATGAATCCTCAACAGCTGCCCAAGGTACCTTAGCTTTTATCTTTTTTTTCCCCTGTCGGATCTCATCCCGTTTCATTTTCAGTCCAGCGCAGTCCAATCCGATCCTTTTCTGTCCGTTCCCCTGCAATGCGACTTCGCGCTTCGTTTTTTCCCCTTTCCCGCCTTCCCCTACAATCTCTCGCATCTAGACGCTGTGTTGGACACACAACGGACGGCGGCCCCTACCTTACAAGAGGCGTCGAGCGCACCGTCAGCACAACAACCATGGGCCGGCCGGCTTGATTAACCCAATCAATTTGTCCTCGGGGTTTGCTGGCCATTCGGCGGGGTTTCGCACTTGCACAACGCACACTTCGACATCGTACAACTCAGCACAGCAATCGTCGGGAGACAGCCTGCTTTTTGACAAGAGACGGAGAAGTCAGAAAGCAGAATCGACACGACTTGACGGGTGGCGGGCGAGCCAAAGGGCAGGCAAGGACTGTCACTGGGCCAGGCCGCGTGCCGACGGCGTGATCCTGTCCCGAGGGGCAGCCAGGCGAACAAGCGGGCCGAGTGTGAGGCTTTGCGAAAAAGAAAAAAAAGGTGCGTACGCGATTCGACGCTCATTGCTTCTTCTTGTTTCTCCCGCCTAGTGCACCTTCATCAGCGGCAGTTTTGATTTTGTTTGAATCTCAATCATTTCCCCTGATTTTCTATTCCACGGCCTCCGTCTGCAAGAAAACAGAAAAAAGGACGGGAAGCACGAGGGCGCGCACACAAGAACCCTAGAGATGGATGCACTTATCGAGGTCGGAAGCTCTCCTGCTTTAGCCGGGTTTGGGACGATCAGTTCGACTCCCTGGACCTGGCGAGGCGCACAAGACAGGATGCCATGGCCCTTTTTATGCGGATCGGTACCACACCAGCGCCGTGCATCTGGCACCCAGGAGGCACTGCGATGCCTGGCAGCGCCTCTCGTCCTTGGGCGAGGTGATGGGATGTGGGCTGGGCGGTTGTGCAGGTGGGAGTGGGTGTGCGTGTGCCTCTCCTCCTCCTCCTTCCCATGGCCATCTCTCTTGTGCGTTCGTGTGGTGTGTGTGTGTGTCTGTGTGTGTGCCCACCGCACGACTTGCCTTTTCGACCCCATCGGCTAGCTCACACGGTCGTCTGCAAGCAATTGCAAGACAGCCAGCTAGTCAAGTACTTTGTGGTGCCTGGCGGTATCAGATCGTACTGCCTGTATCCCATGTTGTCTCCTCTCCTACTTCTCATCGGTCGGCCTCAACAAGACGAGGCCAGACCGGTCAAACACCCACCCCTCCGCTGCTGCTGCCACGAGCACCTCCCCTGCCCTCAAGACGTTTTGACTCCTGTTGCCTCTTCGTGGGAAGATGTCTCTCTTACGTGTCTCGAGCTAACTTATCACGACTGATGCTCTGCAGGCCACACTCACTTGCTCGTAGTCTGTCTATCCTCGATGGATCACACCTGAAGCGCCCCTCACTGCTCAAGCACGGCTTCCTGAAGGTTGCAACAACACAGCGTCGAGATCGGATTGCGAGATCTTGTTCATTGTTTTAATTTCCGTTTCTCAGCAAGAATCATGGTCTAACAAGTCCCGCCCCGTAACTAGGAGTTTGAGCCGTCGACGGGGTATGACTACCTTGACATCCAGCCATCAGGCAATGACATGCGGTATGTGGCAGTTCCATTGGCTTTTTCCTCCCCTTCTTCTGGGGGACTCGTCAAAACAACGTCCCCCTCTCGATTCCTGTGCGCTGGTCAGGCTGCAGTGTGCTAGTCGGCTCTGGTTCCTTTTTAAATGTCCAGACATCTGCAGCCCCCGGCAACAAACTTGTCCCCCCCACCCCAGCAGTCATATTTTCACACATAAGTGTAGTCCCAGACTCTTGGCTCAGCCTCTCGGTTCTTGGTAGGGTCTCTGCTCAATCTGTCTAGCTGGGCAAGCCTCGAGCAAGAATTGCGTTGCAGAGACAAAAAGAAGGCCGCTCTCATTAGCGGCAAAGAAAAAAAAAATCAAATCAAAGCAGTCCAGACACAGACACCAGAGGAAGAAAAACGCGAGAGAGATGAAGAGGCATGGGTAGCCGCCTTCTGGCGCCCAACGTGCCACTAGAAATCCACAGGCATTCCCGCCTATCGCCGCGAGATGGTGGTGTGTCCTCGCATTTCCCGATCCTGTATCCGCTGGCGGTTGTGCAACGCGCTGCTGGCAGTACGACGAGCTGGGAGCTGGTCGCACTGACACTGTGTCTCGCATGCGGACGCAGTACAGCAGTTGTCGTGTCAGGCTTCCAACGCTCTGCTTTGCTTTACTTCCCTTTGCCTTGCACATTACTCTCTCTTTGGAGGGGGGAAAGACACTCGGGCTGACGGGAACATCAGATACGAACACAACGTCAATGCTCCTCTGTCGACGATCGAAGGCCCTCCACAGCAGCCGACGGCGCTCTTAAATCTGTTCAATCCACCTATAACCACCACCACTCCGTACTCCACTGACAGCGGCTTCTACCACACTGCTGCCTCTCACGTCTTTCCCAGCCTGGATGTCAGGCCGCGCCTGGGCTCAAAGTAGGTCGCACACCGTCCCCCCGAACCCCCGACAGCGCCGAATAGGATTGCGTCTATCCAGACAAGACGGACGGGCTCTATGCCCTCTAGCTCTAGCTCTAGACAAATCATGGCCAAACTCCCAGACTTACCTGACAGTAGCACCTCTTCGACGGGCATGCACCGCTCCACAGCATTACCCCATCCTGGCACACAAATCAGTGTGAGAGACCAGTATACTTCCGCGACACCATCTTTCAGGAGGGTCTCGGAACACCAACCCAGATCTCCATCTTACCCAACCGCTTTACGCCGCCATCCCATATCTCCAACTTCAAGCCCGATTACCGGTTTCACCGCACCGACTGCCTTGAGGATGGATGCCGCTGGCCATTATCCTCCGTCCTCTTCCAGGACACCCATGAGCGTGCCTCCGCTCAGCCCCATCACGCCCTTGGGCATCCTCCAATATTCCGATGGAGGAGTCGTCAAGATCGACATACATGGTAACATCGACAAAGGCTTCTTCCAGTCCGACGGCGACTGGACTTGCTACAGAAGGAACTACTTCTCCTGTATTTGCTCCTTCAGTCTGACCCCCCACTATCCCGGCCAGCCGCTGCAATTCACTTTGTCCGGGTCCACGCAGCCTTACAACGTCATCGGCTTCGCAATGTCTATCTCGGCTGTCGTTGCAGAGAACGACTCCCACGTAATCGAACTGGTCCAGCACACGCCTAAGAGAGACAAGGGCCCAATCGCGAAGCCCGAGAAAGTGCGCCTTCATCCCAAGTACCCTCACCAAGCGCATCCCCTCGGGCTATACCCTCACGACACCAGCCTCGGAGGGCCATCCAGAATCGGCGGCGGCTTCGCAGACGGCGGAAGTTTCCCAGGTGCCCAGCAGGGGGGCGACTCATTCCAAACGGAGCACACCTTTGAGCGCATCCAGTTCAAGCAGGCGACTGCTAACAACGGGAAGAGGAGAGCTGCTCAACAGTATTACCATCTGCTGATTGAACTTTGGGCGGATGTAGGCCAGGGACCCGATAACCTCGTCAGGGTCGCGTACCGAAAGTCGGCCAAGATGATTGTGCGTGGTCGCTCACCAGGACACTATCAGGCCGAAAGGCGCGCCAGCACAAGCAGCGGGCCAGGTGGATCGGGCGGCAGCATATCCGGCTACCCGAACAACACAATTCTCGGATCGGAATACTCTGGAGGAGGGGCGGGAATGGCAAATTGCTACGGAGGAGGCTACGACACACGCGGTAGTCAGTACGGAGCACGCCACCATACCGAGCTCGAACCTATGATCCCTCCCGAGGACGCCAAAGCCATCGATACAGCCAAGGAGTACCGTTACTACCCCGGTGCTATCTACGAGCCACCCGAGTCGGCAGGAGGAGTGGAAATGTTCCAAAGCCACCAAAGTCGGCAGGATCACATGCCGCACCTGGCTTCGCAATACGATCCACTTCATGACAGGGTCAAGCGTGATCCCGAGAATGGAATGCTGCCAAGCATCTTCCAGCCCGGACCGCTCATGTCGAATCAACGCTGCGGTCCGTACGAGGGCAAACCTACATCAACAGGCTACTACCCGACAATGGTTCCCCAGTCTGGAGTCAACCTCACCAACATGACTTGAGCAAGCACTGGGTGAAAACCGGGCTCCATGAGGGTGGATCACGGACAACCAACATACAAATACACACACTGAAAGCAGCACGAAAAAATGGGTCGAACGAAGAATGATGGCAAAACGGTTGCTCTGCTCTTTTACATTCTTCTGGATTTCGTTCACTGGAGAAATATTCGCAACAATTGGCATAAACTCGACGGCGAGAATCTTGGCGCATGGAAATAGTATAGGGAATTTATTTGGGACGACGCGATATCCGAGCGAGAAAGGTTGCATGTTGGAAGACTCAGACAACCTAGTGAGGAAACAAGGGTTATGGCGAACCGACGCGTGGGATACAGAAAGATAATTTGTGGCTTGGCTTGGGGACGGCGGAATTTTCGCCCGGCACGCCCAGAATCAAAACAACACGTCATGAGAAGGAAAAGTTTTGGGGAAATCATGTCCACGGGATACGGAGAACGACAGGCATTGTTAGGGATACCCGCTTGCGCATTTCGGATTCTCCTTTTGGTCTTTTATTTCTTTCTTTCCATCTACACCCTCCTTACCCCAACCTTTTTTGGCTGGTCACCCCTCCATCTTTTCTTCTCTGGGCATATGGTTCTGTAATAATGCGAGGATATGGAACATTCGCTTCAGCAAAGACGACTTCTTCTTTTTTTGGTGATATCACACTTGCGGACGAGACAAAGGGCGGGCGAGAGGATAGGCCGGTGAAGAGAAAGACAGGGACCGGCGTTCAGGATACGGCTCGAGCGTCAGGACACGAGCCGTCTAGGGCTTGGAAACTTGGGCCAGGTACTGGGGAAGCATGGGCGGGCGCCGATGCCAGGTACTTGGTATGTTTTCTTCCTGGGAGTGCAGTATTTGCGTACCTATTATCTATCCTCTTTTTTGCAATACCTGATATGAGGCAAAAATATGGGATACCCTTTCGCTCCTCAGCAGACGAAGCCAACCAACGCGCAGTTTGCTTTCTCGTGTATATTTGCGTGCCTGTTTGCCACTTCTTGCTCCCATCATGGTCTCTGGCCATCATGCGGACTCGGGACCAGCCCCGACTGGGCGATATGCGATGAGCTTCTGAATAGAGATGCATCTTTACGCAGCGGGATGGGCTACGGAACGGGTGTAGATGCGGACGGCCCCGGGGTTTAGCTGGATGCAAGACCGAGCAAGGGCCCGCAAGCGGTCGTCGTCGTGAATGCAGAGAGCGACAGAGGGAGACCATGGCGGATCAAAGGGCAAACTTCAGGTTCTGTTGCGGCAGTTTCCTGCATCGTACTTCTTTCATGTCGGCTTGGCCCGGTAGATCCCTGCCTCGCCATCGGGTAGACGAAGGGTTGACATTGGACGGGCTGCAGCGCGCGGCAGCAATGGGTAGACTACAGAAGCAACAACAATATGGAACAATGGGATGGAAAGGGGGGGCTGGGGGGGAGGGTGGCCTGGAGAGAAGTGAGACTGGTTGGCTTGTCGTGGTGTGCGTCGCACCAACGAATGCCATTTCCGGGCTGTTCCCCTCTTCTTTCCTCCTTCTTTTCCCTCGCTCTCAGGGCTGTTTCAAGGAAGTGTTCCCCGTATCCCCCGCTGCCCCCCTCCATTTCTCTCTCTCTCCCACACACACACACATCCATACACGTCCCACCCAGCCTCAAACGCGGAACGGTGAAGAAACGGGGAGAAGAAGAGGAACGGGAAGAAGAAAGTGTGTATGTGGTGACGGGCACAACACCTACACACAGAACCCGCTGGTCTGGTTCTATACGAACCTTGTCGGAACACAGCATGAACGACGGGAAAGGGGGGCGATGGCTTGATTTGCGGTGAGCTCGGCTGGCAGAAGTGGAATTGCAAAGGGGGCTGAGGGAGTAGGTGGTGATGATGCCGGGAGCCGCTGGTTCATGCGAGTTTGCGGGCGGGAGACGCCGGGCGTGCTACGCGGGCCTTTTCCCTTTCACTGTAGTATGTGGCCCGACAATGATTGGGATGATACAGGGGCAAAAGTCGAGAGCAGGAGGTTCTGTTAGTTCCCGTCGCTGATGAATGGGCTTGGTATGTTTGGTGGATGCTTCCTGTGTGTGTGTGTGTGTGTGCACGCGCAGCTAACCGTGAAAAGTACGGCCCTCCACCAAAGGGGTGTAATGGGAGGGGGCGCCCCTTGATGTCGGCGGAGAGCAGGCAGAGAGAGGCGGAAGGTAGCTTCTCGGATGGTGTTTGGATGGTGGAGGGTTAGTCGCACCGCATCAGCGCATCCCGGCGCCCTCCTACGGCAGCCCCTGTGACCTGCCTCTAGTTCCTGGCCCGGGCGAATATGACAGGTAAGTTTGTGGGTTTGGGTTGGTTGGAGGGTCTCTCGGTCAAGTCGCTTGTAAGATTGCATTCTGGCACCGAGGCGTTGGTTCGCGGCGCTTGGCTGGGAGGTGATGGCCCAAGTATGGTACCATTTGACGGTTGTCATCTTTGTTGGAGGAGACTCATGTGACGCGGTGAGGTATCCGGAGAACAAGGGCATGGTATGTGAGTGCGCGCGCCGGATCCAAGGGAAGTGGGAGGCAAGACGGACTGACGTTGCGAATTGCAGGCGTTGCGAAATGAACGAAACCGGGGAAAGTTGGAATGAGAGAGGAAAAAACCGCGACTTACAGCTGGCTGCAAGCCATACATGGATCTAATCATGATCTCGATTTTGGTCCCCGGTTCAAAATGAACCCTTGTTACTCACACTGGCCTCCTCTCCCTCCACCGGACTGTTCTCCTGTCCCTGAGCTATTTTGGCCGGGGTGTTTTATTGCGGCAGTCGAGAAGCTGCCTACGGTAGACGAGGGAAAGAGGGGTGGGAGGGCTTACGTCGAGGTTTCTATGGAAAGAAAAAAGAAGAAGGGGGAAGAAAAAAACCGTCTGCATGTCTCATCGCGCATCACCCTTTTTTCCCTCGTTTTTGTTTCTTTTTTTCTTTTGTTTTTGGTGCCCCCTCCCCCGGGCCCCCAACGCTCCGAGAGTGCAACGTGATGTCAAGATGGGAATAGACGACGTCAAACGTGTGAGGGGTCCACCGGTTCAACTGATGTCCAATTAAGGTTTTTGAGTGACATCCCGGACCTCAGACGTGTTGTTTTAGTTTAGAAGCTAAGAGTGTTTTAGTGAGGAGTCTAAGACCTTCCAAGGAGGAAATTTCGGGCAAGAAGGGTTGAGCCTTAAAGTGAGGGGGAAGAGAGGTGGTTGGCTGAGCAGAAAAAAAGAAAAAGCAATGTGTGTGTGTGTGTGTGAGGAAGACCGAAAAAAAAAAGACGGTCGGTCCGGGACACGCAGCAGACAGACATGCTGGACACACCCGACACGAGATGCCTGCCGCCCTGCCCTGTTCCTTGCTACATACGGATACCTTAGCTGAATCTGGGTAGGGAGGTGCAGTACTTTCACTTTCGGAGCAGGGTAGCAGCGCTGGAAGAGGCATTCTTTTCGGCATGGCCCTAATTATTCCCGCCCGTCACCTAGGTACTGCGCGGGGGCGGGGACCGGAGAGCGGAGACCGGACGCCGAAGACCGGGGCAGCTCCCGTCCCTCACCTCCCATTCTTGACGTGCGCTGGTGATTGATTCCAGAAGGTGCTGGCTGTCAAGACCAACGCAGTCGAGTTGACTGATTCAGCTGAGCATAATGCGACTCCAGTAGGACTGCATAGTATATCTCCTCCTCTTTTGATATCATTTCCCCTCCCATTGCAAGGGGGAAAAGACGCAGATATGGGTCCAGGTCTGACGGAAGAGGAAAATGCACTATTCAGGGGGACCCATGGAACTGTCGTTGGAGCGGGACCTGACGCAACAGAGGCCCAGTGTATCCGTATGCTATCCCCGGCCGTAAATGAGATCGCGCTTCGGGGAGCGTCGGCGAATCGGGTACCTTGTCCAGGTTGCGGAGCGTGACCACCAGGCGGTAAACAGGGCAGGCAGTGTGAGGCTTTGGCTTTGCTCACGGTGAGAGCGGCGTCGGGATGTTTGCCTGGGACTTACCTAGGAGACAGGCGACAGAATAACAGTATACGCGGCACTTGTGGCCGCTTTCAACCAGGTATCGCCGGGACACCGAGTCGACGACACCTACCTACTTACGACTATTCGTACCGTCAAAGGTATGACCCGAGGGAATGGGGATCACGGTGGGGACCTCGAGCTGTCATGGTCTTGCAGCAGGCAGGCGGGCTCCGGGTTTTCTGATTGAGGGCTGATCATCCGACCCAACCTGCCCCGCTGCAGCTGCGCAGTGTGTCTTCTGTCTGCCCAGAGCAGAAGACAGGTACCCACTCGAGATTAGATTGAACTACCTAACTTAGCTACCTACACAATACCTGCATACATCTTCTCAGCTTCCTTCCTCTTGCGTATCCCATGCGTTGTTGATCACCCATTCACCGACGGTGAGCCAAGAGAGGCCTCAATGCCCGCCGCAGCCTTGCCGACCTTTGGAGCGTCACATCTTTCATTGTTACGACCTGCCCTGGCCTGCCTTTACCTCGAAGCTCTTGGAGATGAAGAGTAATCAGTAATTTGCTACCTCGGTGCACATTCCCTCATCCCTGTTCCCCAGCTCTCGGTCTGAGCCTCCCAACTCACCGACTGCCTTTGCCGCAGTTTGACGTCGTGAGGGTGCTGCTTACGAAGGACATCGTCATCTCCACCGTTCCCGCCCAAGAGCCGACTTCACGTTGCACAAAGTTTCTTCCTCAACTCAGCCTTACGGCAAGCCATCATCTTTCCGTCTCACTGACCACCCTCCCTTAGCAAAGCCCTTACGGAAAGTACACCACCACCACTGCGAGGACGATGATTCAGCTTCGAAAAAGGTGCACGTCTCACAACGGGCAGATTGTTCGCCTCCCCGGCCGCTCGCTCATCGACATTCGTCAGTGAGAGCTCATACCAACTGACCCGACGGATGCGAGGTGTCATCATTCTCCTTTCTTTTCCAGCAGTCTTTTTGGCCTTGGCACGCCGTGTTCCCGCCTGTCTGCCCTCGCAGCCCCTCAACCGTGCTCACCGATCTTGTGATCACCGCCATCCGCCTTCCAATCGGGACATCCCTCGGGTCATCGAAGCCCGGCTTTCCCTTTCAGTCCGTCCACGACCTATGTTTCCGGGGAGAGTCTCGCCCTCACCACTCATCGCCCACGGAGGCCAAGTTCCAGGGCCTGCCATTTGTGAAATTGACACGACGCCTGAGGTAGGCGGCTGCTAGTGCTGAAATCCTGGGGGCGGCTGACTTGTCCCGTGTCACTCCGAGTGATGAGACCTGCAGCGCTGACCTTGTGCTTCTGTATGGGCACAATATCTGAAGTTTTCAGGGATGTGTTCATTTAAGTCTGTCAAAGTGCACAGTCTCCTCCACCGCGGGGCGGGATTTGCTTCCATGCCGCAGCTGTGGCGATGATGTCGTTCGGTGACGACGACGACAACGACGACACACCGACCAGGTTCCATCGGGCCCTGTTCTCATGCACCGGCCTTGGACCTTCCCCCTCACCCACGGCTTGTCACATATCCCCAGCTGCTCTATCCCTGCTCTGACTGATCGGAAGCGTTAGTCCTTACGAAGTAGTCGATTGCCGAAGTCGATGGTAGCGCTCGAATGACCCCATGATCAACGAGGACGGGTAGATCAAGCCGATCCAAATCCGCACCGTCATCGTCATGACATGTCGGCGCGCAGGGATTCCTTCTAGACGGGGTACGGCTATACTATGGTTTCTGAAGGGGGGCGCACCGCAGCGGGCATTTAGGATGCGCAACATACGAAATCACTTTGCATTTCCTGTCTCACAAGACCTCCATCGATTGCTCTCCATCTGCGCCTACCGCTGGCACTTTCTCTCAGCTGCCTGATCACTGGACTTGTCAGCTTATCTTAGGGGTGACGAGGGAAGAACTCCATGTGGCTGGGGAAATTCCGAGACCCCTCGTCGAGGCGTTTTGGTTGGAGGCTTGAAATCTACTCGTATTGATTGTTGAGCTGTCCTCTTACGGGTAGATTATCCGTGTTCTATTGGTGGCAGAAAAAGTTTACAAAGGAGGATGGCACCGATAAGAGCTCAAATGTCGCGTTGGAGGTTTTCGTCGTGAGGATAGCGGGATACTGAGCCTTTGCGACGCCTCTGAGTCCCAGATACCGAGTTTGTTGCTAAGGGAACTTGTGTTTACTTGCCAATTCAGCCAGTTTAGATCAAAAAATCTCAAGCTTGAGGGTCAGAAGAAGAAGTGAGGTAAAGTTAAGGCCAAGCTGAAGAGGATTATCATCTAAACAGACACCAACATTTGATATAGCATGATGTGTGAAATGTCTCGTTCTATTACGTAGACAACTGATTGAGATACAATAGATGAGTGTTGTTTCTATTATTGTTCCTACTGTCGTTCTTCCTGCTGTCCCTGCCCCTCATCTCTGTTCCTCGTCCCTGCTCGTCGCCCCTGCTCGTTGTCCCTGCCAGTCTTTGTGTACTTCTGTCTATACCTTCAGCTAGTAGTGGCATTGGGAATTCCGGTCTAAAGCTACCGGAAGACATACGAATCATACTTAGAGTAGTATTTGTTGATTGGCGTATATCAGGGAAAGCTACTCTTCCAAAACAAATACGGAAGAGTGATAGTCTAATTTCATGCAAAGGATATGTAGCATGATGGCTCTCAAACGTTTTTCGATTTGATTCCACGGGTTCCAGATGTTCACACGTTTCAAAGCATCTAGCTCGATAGGAGTTCGGAGTATAGGATTGATTAAAAGACAGAATGATGGTCCAAAGACAGTTGCGAAGACCTCAATTATTCACCCAAGGACACATGTCCTCGAATCCCACAGTAGCAAACACCTGTTTGAGTCTAAACAATTCCCACATTCACTTGTTGAATAGAAAGCCATCAGTAATCCCAGTCCATTCAGAGACCCCTTCACTGTGTCATCGTCATTCCGTTTTGTTCTCACACTACGCGTTGTGGTGCTAGCCCAGTCAAAGGAATCGTGATATCGTTTCGAGAACGACCGGCGAATCGAGATTTGTTGGCGGTAGAAGTACAAGGTTGCTAAGACTGCTTCTTTCTATTCTTATCGACAGCCTCGCCGGCCTTCTTTGCGGCATGATTCGTGAGAACACCAGGGAGGGAGTTCGTCGCAAAGCGGAATAAGATATCAGCGTCGGCGGTGTAGGACCACGAGAGGAGAAGGACCAGTGCCAGGGCGATGGTGACGTGGCACCTCATCTTGGGCACGTGCGGAAGGCTTGGCAGATGGTATTCTGTGGTCGAAAACAAAGAGCGTGTGATTCTAGGCAGAGTGCGAGTTTGTTTGTAAAGATCAGATTTGAGACGGATTACAGAGGGGAGACCGCTCTAAAAATGGCGGTCGCAGAGGCCATGGATGTGCAATTGTAAGAACTTCGGTATCTTGAGGGAGCTTACCTCTAATGACTCGCGATCTCTTTATATACCCCTTATATCAGCCATAGAGGTTTCTCTCCTATTCCATATCCCCCGTAAGTATCTCCGTCAGAGTTATATAGAAGTCAATAATTTGTACCTGCAGGCGGTAACCTGCCGTACGAAAGTATGCACATAGTTTACGAAGGCTTTCTATAGTGAATCCAAACCGCTAATAGCCCCAGTTTAGCATTCAAATAATCAAATCACATAGGAAATGATGGCTTTCTCCGACAGGTAGATGGCGTTGAGGTTCAGTATGATCACTACTGGCTGAGATGGCAGATGCACGTGTAGTGCAGGACATCATCGTGAGAGCAAGATCTCGTTCTAAACTTGTAGGTATGGCTGATTGAGATGCAAGGACGAAGTTTCCGCATTTATAAAAGCCATCAACGACAATGAAAGTTGTCGACGAATGATGTCCCCACGCGTGTCAAGTCCAAAAACGCCTTCTGAGTGAGGGTTTCAACGTGCATGCAATGTAAGTATGCGTGGAATATGCACAATCCCGATATGTAGAACTACGAACGACTCGCTGAATGATCTCTTGAGAGTCTCCACGCTCAACAATTTCCTAGCAATCACATTATCGTAACGTAGTTTTCAGGATACGTTAATGAGATGCCATTGTTTCACCTCGTCTCATCCGCTGGTGTGAAAATAAACCACGCACTCCTGTCTCTGCTGTCTCTGCTGTCCTCGCCGTCCTCGCAGTCCTCCTTGCTATCACTGTCGTTGCTGTGCCCGTTCTTACTGCCATCCACGTTGCTATCCTTGTTATCGTCCTTGTTGCCATTCTTGTCGTCCCAGTGGTCTTTAGCTATTCCTCTTCAATAGTGACACCGAAGAGCTTCGTACACAAGATTACATCTTTCCCATTAGCCCAAAGAGCTCAACCCAAAAGAGTCCACCAAAGAGACCCATACAAACCCTAGCTTCATCTGACTACTAATGCTTCCAGTCTCTGACGTCCACAGCCTTTCTGCGTATAATGATAGAGAAGCCTGCAGTTTCTTGCGTTATACCTTTTAAAATTTCATATGTTCTCAAAAGTCCTAACATCTGGGCGGAGTAGAACGTCACCTCTATTACTAAAATCATCCCTAACGTTATTACTATTCCTATTATCCTCTATATATATATATATTTTCTATACCTATTCTATTACCTCCTCCTATTTCTATAAACTTCATGCAGTATGAAGACGCAGGCCAACGATTGAAGGAGCAAAAACGTACAACCGCATCACTTGATGAGCGTGAGGAATGGGATAAAGAAACAAAAAGAACTCCTCGACGGGGAATTGAACCCCGGTCCCCGGCGCACTAATGTCAATGACAAGCCGATATCCTCACCACTAGACTATCGAGGACTGATGGCATTCATTCAAGGTAAGGTGGATATGAAGCTAGGTGATGATCCCCACTTAGGGTTGACTCAGTGGCGGCTGGCGGCTACAGTAGCGTGGTCGGGCACGACAAGCCTAGAAATTTTGCAGAGATGGCAAATTATGCAGCGGCTTATAGTTAGATTATGCGTATTATTCTCTAACGTACTGGCATTCTGATGTTGTAACTGGTGCTTGGTGACATGCGCCGTTGCGAATCATGGTGGGTTCGTCTATGGAGCGAGTCGGCGTAGAGACAGCGCCTAGACAGACTCACAAAAGAACCTTTGCCTTTCATTGCGCCAAATGCACACTACTGAGGGCTGACGGGCCTACTCGCGATGCTATCGTGAATGTCAAACGAATATTATGAATGTTTCGCGCATCATGCTTTCAAACGGGATTAAGTGGATCAAGTTCCATAACTTCCATGCCAGTCTTGAATAAGCCCGCAATTCATAGAGGCACGATCGTGAAACATAATAGTTTAGGTAGTGAGTGTCTAGGGAAGGCGTGGACGACGACGAGGGACAAGGGATAACGAGGGACGACAAGAGACAACAAGAGACAACGAGGGACGAAGAGGGACGACAAGAATACCAATAATGAGGACGATAGGAATGAGGATGATGATGAGGAGAAGGAGGATGAGGATCAGTAATCCAAACTACTTTAGACGAAGTTCATAGCCCCCGCCAATGAGCAGTGGAAAATCCTAAATTATCAAGCGACGTTTTGTCTTCTATTGCGCCAAACTCTATAAAAATGCTTTCCGTTTTATGATCGCTTCTTATGTGATGCATGCTTTTGTTTTCCTATCCCATTTCCAAATCAGAAACGCCTCACTGCCTGTAAATGGCGTCCGCCATCTTGGCCACCTGACACATCTCAACGGCATCGTGGACTCTCACAATATCCGCGCCGCCCTGAACCGCCGATACGACGGTGGCCGCCGTACCCCAGATACGCTCCTGAGGACTCACAACTCCAAGGACCTTGCCGATGAAGGTCTTGCGGCTGGAGCCAATCAGCCACGGCAGACCCTCGAGACCAGGCCAAGAGCGAAGCTCGTCCATATGGCGCAGGATCTCGAGGTTCTGAGGGGCCGTCTTCGCAAAACCCAAGCCGGGATCGAGAATGATGCGCCAGCGGCGCACTCCGGCGGCCTCGGCTTCAGCGACTCGGTCGAGCAGCTCGCGAGCCATGGTAGGAATGATCCCGTCAGGGTAGTCCGTCAGAGATTGCATGGTCCGTGGCGTGCCGCGCATATGCATGAGACACACGGTACGATTACTGCGTGCCATATAGGGCAGCATGTCCGGGTCGAGCTGGCCGGCCGAGACGTCGTTGATAATGTCGGCACCGGCAGCAACGGCGGCTTCGGCAACAGAAGCGCGCCACGTGTCTACGCTGACGGCAAGGTGGGATAGCTCGGGGAGGCTGCGGACGAGCTTGATGACAGGGAGAACACGGGATATCTCTTCCTCGGCCGAGACGTCGGGCCGACCCGGAGACGTGGAGGCGCCGCCAATGTCGATCATGGTGGCGCCGGCTTTCGCAAAGGATTGCAGTGTTGAGATGAGGTTGTCAGGAGTGTGGACCCCGCCGTCAGAGAAGGAGTCTGGGGTGGCGTTGATGATTGCCATGACATGAGTTTTGCGGGTAGGCGTGAGTGTCACAAGGGCTTGTTGGCCGGCGGAGATGGGAGTCAAGGGCGAAAGGGGTGCTGCTGCAGGTGGCAGCTCATTGAGGTAGTCGAGGGTGAGTTTCCAGGGATTTGATGCGTAGAGGGGCTTATGAGGGATGAGTCTGGGTGAGTGTCAGTCACAGTCGGTGAGTTGATACTCAAAATGGACTCACTCTGCGAGAGGTCGCAGGACAAACTCCCGCTCAGGGATACCGATGTGGGGAACATTGAGACGCGGATGCTCAATTTTCTCATCGCCATACATGAGGATGTCAAGATCAATATTTCGCGGGCCCTTGTCGATCAGCTTTTGGCGACCCAGAGTGCGCTCAATGTCCTGCAGTTCATCAAGAAGGGCCAGGGGTTCCAGGTCGGTCACAACCTGCAGACCATCCGATCAGCTCAGCTCGGCTCAGCTCAAACTCAATTACACAAAACGGCCCATGCAGGATGACGGTGCCACAGTGAAGAAAAAAAGTTTTATCCGAAAGCGAGAAGGGAGGACGACACTAACCTCGCATGCGCCGTTGACGAATCTATCCTGGTCTAATACATACATAGGCTCCGTCTCCCAGAGGCTGCTTGTACGCTTCACTTTGATGCCTCGACGGTCCATCTCGGCGCAGGCCTTCTCGATCCAGCCGACGCGGTCGCCGAGATTGCTGCCGAGGGCAATGTAGGCTGTCGTCGGGCCCCTCGGGCGCTCGACACGCTTGCCGCCGCATCCACCGCCGCAGCAGGCGGACCGGGTCTGGACGGCGGGCATGTTCGGCGACGGAGACCGGATGGTAGGCCGGGCACGGGAGCGGGAGAGTGCGGCAGGGGTTGTGGAGGCTGGCGAGGATGATGATGTGCAGCGGGAGGGGCGGCGCACGGAGGAGCCGGTGATGTAGCAGTTTCTTGGTATCGTGACCTGTTCCCGGACAAGTCGAGGCGTTAGGGCCTGACAGCGGTGCGCATTGCTGCTGCGTGCTAGGGCGCAAGCTCGCGAAAAAAGGGAGGGGTGGCGGAGAGGAATTGGGGGTTTCATCATGGCAAAACGTGAAGGCGCCCACCGATGGTGTGTGTTTGTGTGGTGAGGGTCGTTAGTCGTGATGGGAGAATCCTGCAGCCAATGAAAACGAAGCGCGGTGGTCCCTTGGAATTGAAGGCTTAGGTAAGTGAGGCGTGGGCTTCTTTGAGTCGTGCGTTCCACCTCAGTCTTCAGGGTCCTCGTTCAGGATTGATAGGCTGCTAAGCATTCACGATGTTAGGCCTGGTGGAGGTCGACACGCAGCGGTCCGTCGTCGACAGAACCCACTGTCTTATCGTTATCGTCGCGGTCCGGAATCCGAGCACTTCGGTCAGCTTCAATCCTCGCTGTGGTTACACCGGACTCCAGCAGTCGAAGTCTGATCATGTCATGATTCAAACAAAGTTTGCGACCTCATTTCCAAACGTTCTGGAACGGAAAGCAAGCGCCTGTCGACTCGGGGGCTTTGACCCGCTGTCAGCCACTGTCACCCTTTGTTTGGAGAGGCGACCGTGGCCCAAAAGAGAATGCGAAGGATGAAGTCCTCAGATCTGAGAATTGAGCCTCGCCTCCAGACCAAGATCTACACATTCTCGACATGCAAGCCCGTGATGAATCACCTCACTCCGCAATGTGCAACCCCCCAGTTATGCTTTGCCTTGCAGCAACTTGTGAATTGTCCCCTCTTGTGTTTGGCCCTCGGCATCTTTTCCCCAGATCCACCCCGCCGGGCTTATCCACCCTGACGCGCTACTCCCGGATAGGCTTAGTGGCTGAGGTCACAGGTAAACCTCGGCAGACCATGGGCGCATGGCAACGCACTCCGCCCCTTCTTCCCCAGGAAACCAGCTGTTTGAAGCCGAACGCTACTACCGCCGGGCCTCTTTAAACCGCCGATTGCCAGCTCCTCTCCTCCTTGCAACAACACCGTTTCCTTCTCTCATCCACAAACTCTGTAATCCAGCCCAGGTTCCTTTTCTCTGTACGATTTGCGATCTAGTATACCCAGACTCGAAGTATCATACCACAACTAGCACATCAGTCAACATGGCTTCTCCTCGTAAGTTGTTCAGCCCCAGGCTCTCCTGTCACATGCGCCAGGTGAAATAGTGCGCTGACACGTTGCGCAAAACAGAGCAGATTCGCACTCCCATCACTGATCTTTTCAAGATCAAGCACCCAATCCTGCTTGCAGGCATGAACGTCGCCGCTGGTCCCAAGTTGGCTGCCGCTGTTACCAACGCAGGAGGTCTTGGTGTCATTGGTGGTGTTGGATACACCCCAGACATGCTGAAGGAGCAAATCGCCGAGCTCAAGGAGTACCTCGTCGACAAGAACGCACCTTTCGGTGTTGACCTGCTTCTCCCCCAAGTTGGCGGCAGCGCCCGCAAGACCAAGTAAGAAATCATCCCCACGCCGGAGGAGCCGCGCGCGTCACATGTGAATGCCTTTGTGCTGACCGTACCCACTTAGCTACGACTACACCAAGGGCAAGCTTGGCGAGCTCGTCGACATTATTATCGAGTCCGGCGCTAAGCTTTTCGTCTCCGCTGTCGGTGTCCCCCCCAAGGCTGTTGTCGATAAGCTTCATGCCAATGGCATTGTCTACATGAACATGATCGGCCACCCCAAGCACGTCCAGAAGTGCCTCGACCTCGGCGTCGACATCATCTGCGCTCAGGGCGGTGAGGGTGGTGGTCACACCGGAGACGTCCCTACTACCGTCCTCATTCCCGCTGTTGTCGACCTCTGCAAGGGTCACAAGAGCCCCGTCACTGGCGGCCCCGTTCAGGTCATCGCCGCCGGCGGCATTCACAACGGTCAATTGCTGGCCGCTGCCCTGATGATGGGCGCCGGCGCCGTCTGGGTCGGAACCCGCTTCATTCTTACTGACGAGGCCGGCGCCCCCAACGCCCACAAAGAGGCCGTCCGCACTGCCGGCCACGACGACAACATCAAGACCCTCATCTTCACCGGTCGCCCCCTGCGTGTACGCAAGAACCCGTACATTGAGAACTGGGAGACGGAGCGTCAGCAGGAGATCAAGGAGCTCACCGCAAAGGGTGTTATTCCGTACGAGGCCGATCTTGAGAAGCTGATGAACTCTGGCGGTGACGGTGAGGGTAGCGGCAGCGGCAGCGAGGACAACGCGTCCGAGGTCGATATCGACGATGCCCTGGACCAGTTCCGCCCCTTCCTCATGGGCAAGGCCGCTGCTGTCTGCAACGAGCAGAAGCCCGCCAAGGCTGTTGTCGACGAGTTTGTCAACGACGCCGTCGCATGGCTCCAGAAGGGCAACAAGATGATTGCCAAGTTGTAAAATCGTAAAATTTTGTTTCGCGCCACTGGCGAGAAGTTGGTCGCATATTGGGCGGCGTCCGGGGAAGCCTAGGCTTGACGTCCCCGGGGCCTGGAGTTTTGAGGCTCATGCATTGTATATAAAGAATGATCTAGGACACGACAGCTAGCAGCATATCATGAATGATTTCTTTTTCTTCCACGCCTAAATTGTGCTTGCACTATCTTCAAGTTATCATATACGTGCTTCTCGCTTGCTAGCCCGCGCAAGTTGGCCGAATCCCTCTGTGGACATTGACAATCAACCCGCCCGCAGGCTCTTAAACCTCGGCGCGACCTATGCTACTCGCATTCTCTTGCTCTGATGTCTTGTTTCAAAGGTTCCACACTGTCGGAAGCATGACCCCTGATGGCTGTGCGGCAGCATCGTGGGACCACCTCAGACCCAGTGCACATTTCACGTGTCAGTCGGGACCATTGAGTGCTAAGGATAAAAGTTCAAATCTATTCATTCCACAGTTATGTATTACCTAACCAAGAACAATTTCATCACTCCGTGTCGCCGGCTCTGTCAGTAGACCTCGTGCCCAAAAATCACAACACGCAGCCTACTGTCCCTCCCACCCGCAGGCTCGGTGGATGGGTCCGTGGCAGAGCACAAGGTATCTTTCGCAAACCGCCTGGTGTTTTCCAACGTCCCGTGCCCTTTCTCTGTTTGGGTCCGAGCTGTTTCGTCCGTAGATGCCGCTAGGATGTGTCCACGTTCGTCTTTCTTCGTCGCAAATCGAAATTCGAAAAGCATTCCCTCCTTCCCTTTTGCCAATGCCATACGCCTTCGCTTCAAGTCTCTCAGCTGCCGAGGTACGCACGGATGGCACCCTGGAGCTTCTGGCTGGCCTCGCCTGCCAACTGGGTGAGGTTCTCGAGGTCGTCGCCGGCCGTGATGCCGAATCTGCGAATGAAGTCCTTGGCTGCACCCTCCAGATCGCCGTACTCTTCGGCAGGCTCATCCTCGGGTCGGCCAAAGTAGGCGTTCGAGGAGATCGAAGTAGCGCCCTCGAACCCTTGCAGACGCGTCTTGGCCTCGGCCTGGGCGTTGGGGTCAAACGATCCCTTGCCGAAGAATTCGTCTGAAGAAATACCCTTCTGGGCACCGAACTTGTTGCGCGCGTACGTCTCATCGTTATCTGCAACGGCTGTCAGTGATGATGTTCCCATGTTTTCGAAATTGGATGTCATACCCTCAGAAGCGGCCTTGATGGGTCCAACGGAGCCGAATCCGCCAGCGGCAGCCTTCTTAGGCGCAGCTGCACCCTTGGGCCCACCGACCTGACCAAAACCAAGTCTGGTGACACCCATGCCCAATCGCTCCACTTCGGCATTGGACTTCTGACGGGTATGGCTAGAAGAGCCGTAGCCGCCCTTCGGGCTAGTGGGGGTGGGGGCAGAGATGCTGTCGACCTTGGACGCGGCCTTCTTCTCTTCTTCAGCCTCAGGATCGTAGCCCAGCTTCTCGATGCGCTCGGCCTCTTCCTTTGCCTTCTTCTCGGCCTCGTCGAAGTCGATAACGTCGGCATTGACCTTCTTGACGCCCAACTTGGGGGCCTTCTTGGCGCCCAGGATGTTGGCCTTGCGAGGTCCGCCGGCGGTTGTCTTGCGGAGAGCAGCAGATGTAGTCACACGGCTGGCGGCGGGCTTGTTGTCACCGTCGGTCTTGGACAGCGGAGAGGAAGAGCGAGCAATGTCCTTGGCACCGTTGTTTGCGTTGAGGAAGGGTGAGGGGGTTCGGCCGACAGTCGGGGGAGTCGCAGTACGGGAGATGGGAGGCGTGGGCTTCTTGATGGCAGGCTTGTCCCAGGAAGAGAAGAAATCGTCGTCAGGTTCGCCGGATGGGGTAGAGGCGTCGGCTTCGGTGGCGTCGGTGATTACAACTTCATTGGGGTATCTGAGAGCCAGTCAGTCAACTCGAGATATGGCACGTTGGTAGCATCTTGACGCACTCTTGAGCATCCCTCGCGGCTCGTCTCTTAAGCTCATCCTTGTACTTGGTGGCAGCGCTGGATTGGTACTTCGTCTTGGGGTCCTTGCTGTTGAGAGCGGCGGTGCCTCCGTTTTGCTGGAAGAACTTGGTGGCCGACTCGTTTCCGCCGACCTTCATGAGGCGTAACTGGTCCCATTGCCATTCTGCAGGGGTTAGTCTAAGAAGACGTGGCCTCAAACTTCATGCACATACGATCGAGGTTGGTGGATCGGACGAATGAGATATGGACACCGAGGTTTCGGTGGTTAGACGAGCAGTCGAGGCAGAGGTAGATGCCGAATGGAACAGAGGTCCAGGTAGGGTACTTGGCGCCGCAATCGAAGCAAATCTTTGATGCACACACAGTCAGTATTGAAAAGGGGCCGAGGCCATCAAAGGGCGCGGATGTAAGGCATTACCTTGTTCGCAGGCTTCGTCTTCAGCTTCTCGAAGATCTTCAGCGACTGCTGCTTTGAAGCGAGTGCAGCCATGGTGACGGTGGGTACAAAAGATCCAGGCCTTGACCGAGTACAATGCGCTACCGCTGCGAAGAGGATGTCGAGGACGAAGAGAGCGGGTTGCGGGTACTCAGAGATGGGAGGTGCGCCGGCGAGAGCGAAGCAGGGAGCGGAGATATCTGAATTTCGTGTCCAAAAGTTCAGGAGGCAGTCGCCGCCCTTCGGTGAAGTGGCATGTAGTCAGTGCGCTAGTCCGAATGAGGCTAGCATCCTTTCCCCACAGTGGACTGGCAGTCTGAATTCTGCCGAGGGCGGTCAACACCTTTTGCAGAGCTCGAAGGCCCAGCTACACAGCTGCAGCTATGCGCTGCCGAGCTTTCTCGATGATCATCCTGCCCTGCTCATCGTCCTCGTACGATGGCTGACGCCGAACCGCCATGATGAAAATGAATAGTAGATCGCTTGTGATTCGAGCTCCTTCGACGTTGGGCCTTGCGCCGCGACTTCAGCCCTTGCTTGTACAACGGTATTATGCGACACAGACGGGTCTGGGAACGACCGCCACATCCAAGTCGAAGCGCCGAACGGTCACGCCATTCAATGATACCGGAGCCGTTCCATGGGCGGAACTTTCGGCAGGCGAAAAGGCAGCGCGAGCTACACAGCAGACTTTCAACTTCGGTCTGATCCTGGCAGGATTGTTCGTCACGGCAAGTCATACGATGCATTACCCCGCGGCGGATGCATAGCTGACATTCATGGACAAACCAGGGCGGAGTAGCATACGTTTTATACACCGATGTTTTCTCCCTCGATAGCAAGACCGCGCACTTCAACCGAGTTGTCGACAGAATCAAAAGCGACGCTAAATGCATCGACTTGCTTGGAGACCCCAAAAAGATTTCGGCCCATGGAGACGAAACGTACAACAAGTGGCGTCGGGCTCGCCCCATTGCGTATGTTTCCAGTCCCGTGTTATTTGGGCATAGAGGCCTAACAGAGACAGTTCGACAATAAGTACCGACTCGAGAGGCCATGAACACCTGGTGATGCACTTCTACGTATGGCCTGAACTTTGACGCCACCGCGCAACCTCATCTGACTTTGGTGTCTAGGTCGAAGGACCTCTTAACAGAGGAACGGTCTACTTACATATGATCAGAACGCCCAGCAGCGGCGAGTTCGAGTACAAGTATCTCTACCTTGACGTCAAGGGGCATCACAGAATCTACTTGGAAAATGCGGATACGGGAATAGGCTCTGGGAAGAAGGGCTTCCGCTTCCTTGGTATCAGCTGGTGACGACTGTACGATGAATTTCTAGGTGGCACGAGTATTGTAAGATAGGGGGAGGTCTAGCCAAGAGGTGGATTGCTAAGTGTTCCGTGCCAAGTGACACTTCACGGAGGCATTCATGACCCTTCGGTTGTCGAAGTCGCGTATGCAAAGTCACCAAGCATGGCTCGAGTGTGAACTACAGTTTCAGACCAATTGCCTCAACTGATGCCCAAAATTTACTTGCAAGTAGCTTGCAACACGGATTATACGAGAAAGAGCTGGAGCAAAACAGCATTATCCAATGTTCGTTCTACGCCCGGGCTACGTAGTATACATCCCAAAGTATTCGCATATCATTGTCCCAACAGACCTCACAGAGGATATACGTCGCTATGAAGTTGATATTGGATCTTAACCAACTCATCTCAACTATCAAGTTCATGCTGATCCGAGGATAATTCATTCTACGGACAATCGCTGGTCACCATACTCCTTAGTGGAACATCGTCAACGATCAGATGATTCGAGGAATCAATGACACATTTCTCCGATTCTTCTTTGGCTTTATCATAAATGCACAGGACGATTCGCTCTCCAGGGGAAGATGCCCAAGAATGTAAAGGACTTTGACCTGACAAGGCTCTGTTCGACAAAACAGCCCGGGACAGCTACAAATACAACCAGCGACGAGATACCATCTTGTTTTCGACACCTGATATTCCGTTGAAAACAGCTCAGACACAGTGATATTGTTCCATAGCTCGCTGCAATCCAATGATAAATGACATCAGGCAACATGCCCCTACGGATCGGTCCGTACATCGTAGCCTACTTGACAATCGTCTCACGACTTAAAGGCTGGCGGTTTTCTCGAGCCAGTGTAGTTGAAAATTCTGCTTCGAATGAGAGTATTACAGTGATACCGATCGATTAGAACCCTTGCCAACAGTTGAGAAGTAAGGCGCTCACCGGATTGTTGCTACCCCGCCCCATGCTATATGGCAAGTTCCACCTCAAAGATCACGACAAGAGCCTGGATCGAAGCCGTATCGCTAGGAAACATAGGAATGACTCGCTTTTGTGGTAGGGTTCAACCAAATTATTCTCGATGCCTCAATGGCCCAGAGAGTGCCTCGACGACAACTGTCACCCAAACCTGAGTTCTAATCTAGCGCCCGAAGCTGTCAACAACTAATTATAAATTCCTTTCCTTACTTCCGTTTCTGTCGTTATCTCTACTTGCGTGTCATCGTCATTCCAAGTGTCACATTCTTAAGCCCCGATTCCACAGTTCTAGCACCACCGGAGGTGCGTGTCGTTCAAGACGCCCCTTACTACTTGCTGCACGTTTACGTCTCCATTCAACAACAGGAATATCAAAGGAATTAATTGATGACGGTTCTTGAAGCCGAGAGGCCCTGACTTCGGTACACTGACTGCCATGCAAGGAGCAAGCGTTCAATCCGCAGGTTGTTGCAATTTGGCTGCCGAATGACAGGCTGATGCCCATGATACAGTCACTCTTGGTTACGACATCAACCATTGAGTTATTCTACGTTGATACTTCTTGGCTGTCTGAAATTGGGTCGAAAAGTTGCCGTACCACAATCCGAGTCGATGGATCGGTGCGATTTTCCCAATTGTACGTTACCACCCGGCATCGATGGTTCAACTAGTCTCCAAAGAGCTGCAAGCAAGACGCCAAGCTCGACTTGGGTGCTTCCCGGTGTTTACAATTAACTCATCATACTACACGTTGCTTTTCATGACGGACTGTACTTCAGGAGTCGAATCCTGGCTAAAACGCTTGCTAGTCCAGGCTCCATCATCAGAGGCCAAAGAGCGGCAGCCAAGTCTAAGCTTATACTCCGACTAGAGTGTGTTCAAAACCCGCAACCCACTTCGACATTCCACCCGTACATTGATCAATCACGTCTGGATGTAACGAACCCTCCCGAGACTCACTTTTTCGACTTGATTGCTCGATTGAAACAAGTTCTCAAAAAGCGCGCGTCAGCCTCCCGAAGTTCGTGCTTGGCTCCCTCACAGCCACGTAAGCGGGACCGTAAGCAAGCGCTCTCGAGGGCTCTTGATTCGCCCAACCTGCATTCAGCTCTGTTGCCTAAAGAAACGCCGACACATCAAAGCACGGCGCTGCACTTCCACAGAGAGCACAGGCAACCGCTAAACGAATGCCAAAGGCTGGGGTAATTGAGTGGCAGCAATGGGATGCGTCAAAGCAGATCATCGGCAGGGCTGACTTGAAGGACAACCGGGCTCATTCACAGGTTGCATATATGGTGATTGCCTGTCCCAGGCAGAAAGACACCAACGTCTGTCTCTGCACATAGGTACCTACATACGAATTACAGGCACCTGACCACAAGCCCTCCGCCACAGTCTCATTGACGAGACGAGCCCCTCCAAACCCACGCATCTTCGCCGTCAAATTGAACATCAACTTGAAGTAGCCTTCCTCCATCAAATGTGCATCCCTCGCCCTCGCAGACACAAGTCATCCAGCTCCTCGCCCATCTCCAACATTCCCTATCGTCGCCTCGAATCACCGCCCCCAACGCCCCCTCGCATGGCTCCCTGGCCCCTCCCCAACTCGACTCTTCCTCCACCCATGGGCAACGGCAGCGCCATGCCAGGGCCGCCTAACACCTCCGCAGCCCGCGTCTCATCACAACACGAGCGCCTGCTACTCGAGCTCCTCCCCTTCAAGGAGGCGTCCAAGTTCCACGAGTGGCTCGACAGCCCCTTCGTCCGCGGGCCGTGGAACGAGTTCAACGCCGACTTCCTCATCCCCCGGAGCGGGGCCGCCGCCGCCGGCGAAGGTCCGGCCGGGATCCCGGAGCCGGACAAGCCACGCACGGCGCAGGCGGCGCGCGACGCGCTCAACTCCCGCAAGCCAAAGTTCCTCGTGTACCACCCGGACAAGACCGGCTGGACGCCCGAGGACCACCACGTGCGCTTCATCGTGACTCTCGTCGCCGACAACATGCTGCAGAACCTGTGGTACGAGTCGGAGTGGAAGAAGCGGGGTCTCGACATCGCAAAGGCTGCTTACGAGGTGCTCATCTTCCTCAAGGCTACCTTGTTTGTCGACCCCAGCCCGCCGAGTTACTCGGCATGAGAACTGAAGTCAATCACTGTACCGGGTTTTCCTTTGGCTTTTTTGTCTTTTTTTGATGGGGGTGTGCACTGGCGTGGGGGGAATAAACAGGTTAACGGGCGCAATCGGCGTTTGCACATGGCGTTTTCTTTTCACGAGGAAGAGGAGGGGGTGGAGGGGGGGGAATGGACGGATTGAAGCTCTCGCAAGGTTGGCCAATCGCGACGCATAGCAGCCATTGACGTCCTCATGGCAAGATCAGATCATCTACGAAAAATCTCAACGGAATTTCCGAAGGGCTGCGGAGAGAGCCAACTCACTCACTCCCCTTTTCACATGGTAAAACTCAAGAAACCAAAAAAATGCCGTCATAAAACCGCTCGTGAACGCGATGATGAGACCGAACAGGCTCCCGTCCCGCACACCCACACCCACACCCGAGGTTGAGTTGACATGGACGTGATGATGCGCCCCGGAAAGCTTCACTTGAAAGGGCGGCGTGGTGATGATGCAAGGCCGAATTCTAGACCACCGGTTCCCCGTGTGCCCTACCCCAACAACCTGGTAAGTGCTCTGCCGTTGTGAGGGGGGAAACGTCTTGTACCTTTCATGCGGGCCAGCGAGCACCCACCATGAGCCAATTCTAATATTGCGGAGCACGCCGGTGTTGGGTTGGCATGTGACAGAATAGTTCAGAGAGAGATAGACACAGAGAGATACAGAGAGAGTATCAGAAACCCGAGAGAGAGCCGTAACTACATCCTTCCGACTTGGCGCATACTTCCCGAGGCGAAACATGACAACTGCCCTGGCGAACTCTGTCAAACTCTCTGAGAATACGCAACAACCCAGACGGAATTTGAAAGTAGCCCCTACGAGCACACCCCCCTTCCTTTCCGTTCCTTGTTCCGCGCTGTTGAGCAGTACTTGTAACTCTTGAGAGAGACTCAGTTTGCGCACGCCGGAAAACGGACCGATATGTGGCCTTGGGGGTCCTGCCTTTCTTGATTGTACAATCACGTATCCTCGGCTATGCGTGCGTGTCGTATAACCGAAGACTTTAGGAAAGAGGTGCGAAAGAAGCGACTAATTTTTCGGGGAGAAGGATGTAGCAGGTTTCTATCTCTAATACGCAACCTTCCGGTGTGCATGCATGTCCACGCCAGTTTGCGCAATCAAGTTTGTCACGACACGACGGGTTGCACTTGGGAACGTAGAGAACCATGTTGGCAGACAGAAAACATAATCAGAAAATAGCAAGAAAACTTGTTGCGTCGCTTTCAATGAGCGGTCTGGAACCCGCATATGCAAGACGAGAATTGCGAGCGATCAAAGCAGCTATGCTGCTGCGGCCAAGAGAGAGATACTGCAACGCTCCCGCTGTGGCGAATGGAGCTGGACTCCGGTAATGGAAGGAACGGGGAAGGCTTCAGCTGTTCCTTCAGCCTCATCCGCATCCCATGGGCTGATGCACAAGGTCGCTGCAGCGCTTGAGGCGCGAACGAGAGGGCAGATTGGGGGGGAGGAGCAGGAGGAGGAGAATTGGAGTGAGGAGGCGAGGGAGGGGGGTAGACAGACGGGTAGGTAGGCGGGGAAAGCGGGATGTGTGCAGGGCCAGCTGCAAGTCATTGCTGCAAGCTCGACAACTCTGCTGCTATTTTCTTTGCTTATTTGGCGCACTCTTCGCCGAATCTCGCCTCGACTTCACGGCTTCCGGAAGAGCTAGAACATGCGAAGGGACATATCGTCCCGGCAGTGGGAGCGGCATCGAGGAGGGCCAGCCGGGAGAGCGTTCAGCCATACAGAGACGAGGGATACCTAGGAATGCGACCAAGGCCGAGGGGGCAGCAGCTGCGGAGACAACAGAGACAAAACAAACAAACAGGAAACGGGCTTGTAGCAGGCGAGAAAAGCCAAACAGATGGCATCGTTCAGTGTTTGCGTGTGGAAGTTGGGGGCCGGGGCGGGAACGCGGGATGCGGGTTGCGGCTCGTTCGCACCACAAGACAACGACAAAAAGCCGGGGTTGCCCGTGAGGACCCGGCAAGATGGAGCCAGGGTTAGACGACCTCCGCACGATTAAGCGGCATTGTGGGCTGACCAAGAAGCGGGAGGCGCCTCTGGGAGGGCTCTCGTGCAGCAAAATCGTCTCAACTCCGCGTCGGGATCTGATGTTTCTGGCCCGCCTGCCGCTGCCGCAGACCTTTCTCTTTCACACTCTCTCCGCTCTCTTCTCCCCTCCCCCCTCCCTTCCCCGCCATCTCTGGTGTGCCCTTACAGCACTCCAACTGCGCCGTGGGTTGCAACCGGATGCGCGGCGAATGGGCGATCTGTATGCGAGGGGAGCGGGAGCAGCAGCAGCAGCAGCAGCAGCAGTAGTGGCAGCAGTAGCAGCGCAACGCAAACAGCCTCCTTGGCAGGCTGGGCTGTGGTCGCTGGCCGGCGTCGTAGTATCCCCAGGGTCCCGAGGTGCGTCGTGGAACCCGCTCACCCCGGTTTTTGCAGGACGCATCACACCAAGGGACAATGCTTGATGGTAGGCATGAATAGGTGGCAGTGAGCAGCGGCGAGGTGTATGTATCATCCGGCGGACGTTGATGGTGTGGACAGTTGCCGGGTTTGGCGATGTGATATCGTATATGTGATTCTCATGCCGCTGCGAGGAGGGCGGGTGGACGCGCCAGTGGTTCGTCGACCCGAGCATCTAATCTGTACTCTTTTTTAGACTGTGTTTCTGTCCACGGCTTCGCAATGGTGCGGGTAAGTTTGTGTGTGTGGCCTAGGCTCTAGCTGGGGTCTGGAGCGATTGTGTCGACCGATGGACATGGCATAGAGAAACAGCGTTTCAGGCGAAGCAACTGGCTGGCAGACTCGCGGCTTGGTCTATCAGACTATCCTATGCTCGTCGCACCCTCTCCGTGCTTCTGGTTCTAGCAGCCTCGGCTAGTCTGGACCGGTTGTATGACGGCAGGCGTAGGTAGTTGCAGTCGCAGAATCTACTGCCTCGCCAGTCACAGGCCAGAAAAGTCCGGCAGAGCTTGGTACCGGGATCTGGAGCGAGATAGGGTGATCTCTTGATTCCCACGATCGTAAGATGGAATGGCGTTATGTTGGATGAAAGAGCGGAGAGACAACTGGAGTGAGGCGGGGAAGGGGGCACGGAGAGAAAGGTTCAACCCATGCCGGTTCCGTCGGTGAGGTGGTCACTCTATTCATCCTATTGTGAGCCTGTGATGCAACGTTTGCCAGGGGAGGGACAGGATTAGTAGGCAATAGTTGTGCTTGTCACGACCACACCAGTACTCGTGCATTTGGTGTGTGCAGAGGACCTACAACCACTTGCGTGTCCTTGTATTACGACTTGACGTTCTCTTACGATGGACCCCCTAGCAAAGCAAAGCGAAGCGGATCGCTGCCACCGGAGAATATTCACAGTATTGCGTACGTAGACATAGATTGTATGGATACTACTCGTTGATGCGCGCAGCCAATTGTCAGTCTCTATGAGGTTGTAGAATATCTACGGATACGCAGCAACTTCAAACAAGGCCAATGCATGTGCATGGGGGCGGGACGAGATTATGTCACCAATTGAAAGAAACGCGGCATTAAACAGAATCTGGTTGAGGAGATCAGTCTTTTGAGTCAACACAACTGAACCCTTGGTTTGTATGGGGGGGGGGGATCCGTACCTCTTCAGCAGACAGTGACTTCCATTACATAACGCAGCAATTCCGTTCCGCGACCCATTGGATTCGCAGTCGCGACAATGAATGAATGGAGAGGGACGGACGGGGTCGCAGGGCTGCTTGTTTGTGGCCATGTAAGGTACTCCAGACGGGCGTGCGGCTAGCAAAACGTGCTCACAGATCTGGGGCTCTGACGGAGGGCGAGATAGTCGCGAGCGGGATGTGACAGGGACCGCCTTAACCACCTACCTGTCCAGAGAGCACCCCAAGCATCGAGGTACCGCAATGTCACTCGCTGCCGAGGGATACCTTTAATGATGGACGGGAGGTGTTGTACCCTCCAGCAGGCTTTGAAACGATAGCGCTCAGCGTTCAGCGCTCCCAGCGCGGTCTGCTCGCTGACACGACAGCGCCACGGCGGCATTCCGTCCAGGGTTTTCAGGGTGTTCCAGGCGGGTGGATCCCTAAGGTACCTTAGCTGGCGCCACTGGAATGGGTGGTGCAAATCCTCCTGTGCGCCCTGTGTGGGGGAGGATGACATGTCCCCAGCTCCACCCACGGTCCAGCGCTTTGGCTTCCTTGGAGTTGTCCCTGGCATGGAGGCGCCTGGAGGACCCCCCGGGGCGACGAGAGGGCCTTGGGGAGCAGCTTGGCACGTCGGCGAGCATGGCAGAGAGCCTCTGGGCGCGCCAATTACAGCGCAGAGCCACCACGCCTGCGAAGCGTTCCGCTGTATCGCAGTGGGGCCCCTCGATCTGACGCCATTTTTTTCCTTCGAGAACAAACGGGGCAGCGTAAAAGATTTCCCCACGATAGCCCGCTAGCGCCTCCAGCACCCAGCCATCACGGTCCTCTTTTTTGCCCTCCATTTTTTTTTTCCCTTTTTCCCTCCTTCCCCAGTAGAGCCAGCCAGCCTCCCGCCCAGCCGCATCCGGACTTGCCCGGCTCTACCCAACTCCTAACACGATAGCACACAGCACGCTTGTCCCGAGCCAAGCACACAACCGCTCAAAAGGCCGCGCCAACTCATCCTCCGCTGCACCTCTTCGCCTCTCGGCCTCAAATTCTGAGCCTCCATAGCCACTGTCACTGCGGCTTACCAAGATAGTGGGGTGCCCTCCCTCCCCCCCCAAGCACACACCCAGCTGGAGGCTCTGCCCGCCGTCTCCCTCTGGCCGATATTTGGCCGATGGTGACGATGGGATTTTATGCCCTCGGTGGACCCGGGCCTTGACCGACCGCTGCTTCTTATCGGTCCTTAACCGCTGAATCTCTGGCTGCGGCGGGTCAACCGTGATATTTGGTGGAGTTGCTTGGGTTTTTTTTCTCTCCCTTCCTTCCCCAGAGTGTTTCCGCCTCACAGTTCCATAGCTCATACTGGCCAAGTCTCGGAATTCCTAAGCTTGCCTGGTCAGAAAACTCTGATGTCTCTCAGAGTCTCGTCAACCGTCTGGGGGCCTCTGCTTGCCTCTGCAAAGGGCCACAAAGGGGGGGCCATTACCTTATTATCGATTCATGCTCGTCCTATCTGTCGGCCAAGCTCCGGCGCTTGGCCCGGTCCTTCTCCAGCCGGGCCCTGTCCTCCTTGGTACGGAGTAGCCAAGGTTCCTTACGGTCCGCGGCTTGTTCGTCGTTATCTCGGCCATTAGCCGTTCTGAGCCTCCACTTCTTCTGCCTCGTCGTCCTTGTCACCACCATCGCCGCCGCTTCCGTCGCCGTCCTCGTCGTCGCTTTCGGCCTGCGTCCCCAGGAGTAAATCTTCGCTGCCTTGCCATTGCGGCGGCATCCCGGGAAGTGCCGCATCGTCCTCCCGCTCCCACCCGTACTCCTCGTCATCTTCGCTGTCGGGCACTTCCAGCCCTGCCTCTGCCAGCTTGCGCTTCGTTCGTGGGCTTCGAGACAGCAAAATCGATGGCTGGCTAGTGTCGTAATGCACGCCAATCAGGCCCGCCTGTCACGATAACGTGGAGAGTCAGCCAACCCAATCTCCCTTCTCGGAAACTCCGCTTCCGCCAAATTATGCCGCATTCATGACTGTGATGCCAACAAAAGTGACTGACCGCTTCAACTCTGAACGCCGCTGCGCTCTGCATCGTGTCCGGCTCAGCCTTGCCGTCTAGCTTCTGCACACCGGCGAAGCTCACGCTCGACGGGCTGCCATCCTTCCAGACCCAGTCTCTGAATAGGACCACTCGCGTTGACACCCCTTGCTCCCAAACTCCAGCATTAATGGAAGGAATCAGAGTTGGACTCCGCTCCGATTGCATCTTGGTTGCGCATTGGGACAAGACCACCACGGCGCAGTTTCTCGTCGCTGCCAGCTTCTGGAGTGCGCCGACGATGTACTGCAAGGCTTGCAATCGCTTCGCTGATAGACTGGGCCCTGCATGCTGTCAGTTTGTACTCTGCAAGTCTGGACATACCTGCAGACCTTTGCCTGGGACCGGCGCTTTCCTACCGTCCGGTGCCTTGGGAAAGGCGTGATTTACGAGTGCTGATAACGAGTCGATGACGACCAGGGCCGTACTTGTTGGTATCGTTGCGGCCGCAGGCCTACATAGCAGTGCAACTAGGTGAGGAAGACTAGGGCATGTGTAGTGAGTGATTTTATCTCTGTCCAACGATGCTGGTTGGTTGTTTTCCGATATGCGTGCCTGCTCTGCCGCATCGATCACCGCCGAAAGTCTTTGCCCGCAGAGCGAATAGGCGCAATCTTGAGAACGCATCAGTCTTGACGTCTCGTCCAACGTGATAAGGCCAGATGAACCGACCTACCCACACGGCACCCTGGCCCTCGCGCAGTGCGCTTGCCACGAGTTGGATGCTTGAGAAACTGTCAGCCCTGAGCGTGAAGTGTAGGGAGAGATGTTGGCAGCATACCCCAGTGCTGTCTTGCCAGTTCCTGGAGGTCCCCAAACCTCGGTGACCTGGCCTCTCAGGATACCCCCAGAGCGTTTCGACCCAGACGTGTCGACAGTATCATCAGAGCTGAGGGCCTCATCTAACCGCTTGATTCCCGTAGAGACATGCCTTGAAAGGTCATCGTCCAAGTCTTCTAGCACCTGAGCTGCGGACACAGTGGGCAATCGGTCTGCTCCAAGTCAGTGTCCGACATCCTGAGCAACACTGGCAAACGTACGCGTAGAAGGAAGATCGAAACTGGAAACGTCTTCCTCGTGAACAGCATGATACTTCTCCATAACAGGAATCGCAGATGGTCGTTCGCAGCTTGGAAATCTCAGCTGCTTTGATTCTACCTGCCTAATGCCATCGAAGTCGGGAGAATACAGTACGCGTGACTCCATCCACACACGTGCCCCACATCACCTCACCAGCCACATCAGGAAACCGCCACTGTGGCGCGTGCCTACCTATGTACCTGCCTCAACAGCCGCCACAAGATCGATTGGCATCTTCAGAGATCTGGCGCAGGTAATGACGACGATAGGCATGTCAAGGCAGACCAGACTTGGTCCATATCTTCTCCCGTCTTCCCGCCTGTGGCATCAATGGACGGCAGCTACTGTTTACGCCCGTCATAGGAGAGTCTTGCCAATCGATCCGGACGACTGTGAACTGTTAAACATGACAGGTTACTACCAGCAAGCGGCCCATTGACCACATCAAGATGGCCACGGCCCACGAAGTCACAGAAAACCTCACGAATACTCTGCAAAACACTTGGTTCCATTCTCAGCATACCGATACAGTCCGTCTGCTTGAGGAAGTCACCACGGATACCACCTCAGCCCAAACATCGTCTCAGCCATCCAAGCCTACTGTTACCGACTTTCTGGAACGTTTAGGGTGATTCCCGCAGCCCGTGGCTCAAATTCGGACGACAAGATATGTCAGCACCACGGCTGCATCCCCGGCCAAACGGGTGGAACGTGGTCGTCGGGGTCGACTGCTCGAGCGCCCCCAACTCGCATGTTCAGATCTCCCAACAACTAAGTCTATTTCCATCTCGTCCGGAACATCTAGGGCCTCTCCGGTTTCAAGCTCTCTGCGACCCTACAGTCAACGGGATGCCTCCCGCTCAGACGTCGAATTGGCTCATGTTACTGCGAACGCCTGGACGAACATCTCCGCGGTTTCATCAACGTACATCGCAGCATACTTTGCTCGGGGTTCCAAAAAACCCTGCTATTAGTCAAGACGCAAGAGTCAGGAAGCCCCGATACCAACATTCTTGGGTTTTGAACAAGCCACAGGCTGTCCACTGCTGGCGTAATCAACCAGACATAATTACGCCGAGAGTTGCGACCAATGGAATCTCCAGAGATATGCTTTGATCATGCCCATCAACGCCAGTATCTCGAGACAATTGCGGCATGATCCCGCGTGGGGTCCTGCGGGGGTTGAGCAACCAACTCATTGACCTTGAGGTCTCCCCGTGGGACCAGGACGACCCCTCGAGAAAAGGCAGTTGCCCGAGCCGGGGCTGAGCAATATCGAGAGCCAGCATGACCTGTCCAAAATGGCTACTCGTCGGCTCGGAAATCGGGACGGTGGTTATCTACTCCACCACACGCAGGCACTATTTGACGTGAGCAGACTGCAGAGACCCTTGCGAAGATCAAGGCCGTACGACAAAAAAATTGTGTCATACCCGACGGCGAGGTCGCTCCAATTCGACGGACGACGTCCTGCAGTATTGAGCCTCAAGTTCCCAACAAGAACACGACCAGGGTGTTCCCGACGATTACGCTTTGTCAGAGGATTGTGATTCGAGGAGAACATGCCACGATGCTCTAGACGTGTTCATGGATGTAGCGCCCCTTGTTTCCGACCGTCAGTCACAGACTACCGACTCCATTCCGAAGATTCGCCAGATCACGTTGTCCACTTGATGGAGGCCACTTGCTGGAGGCTTGGTGAAGCTGAAATCCTGAATCCTCTCACATGAGCGCTGGACCACATGTCGTTCATCTTGCGAACTGGGGAAAAGTGCCAATAATCACCCGTATGGCATGGGTGTTTCCGACCTGGGGTTGATGACGCGGAGCGCAAGCGGAGTTGTCTTCTTCCGTATCATTCTCCCGCAAATTGTGTGGGGGCAGGCATCGGGACTCGGGGCAGCGTTTTGCGGCGCTTCAAATTGCCTGAAATCGCGCGCTCACAGGTGCGGTTAAGCAGACCGTCAGGGCGCCCGATAACTCTGAAGTTACAGTCCGGCCGGTCTGGCCAGACTTTCTAGCTTCTGCATCCATGTGAGATGCAAGGTACGCGCTTCCCCAGCCTTTCCCTCTGCCATTTTCATGGGCGGAAATGCTACCGTTTCCCCAATAGATGATTGCGGTTCCCCAAACTTTGTCGCTGACATCATTCCTCGAATTTTGTCTTCGGGGAAAAGGGACCCCTGTCCCCCTTATCTTTTCACATGTGATAGCAACGAGGGGCCTACCACGCAGTACCTGCATTCCAAAACTCAAGCCTTTAACGACGGCACGAATCCAATGATGGAGCGATGCCTCATTGAGGGATGCGAGTTGACGCCGTTCATTCGTCTGTTTGCGTCTCACTGAGTCGACCAGGACAAGCCAGAGATTTCACCGGCGCCACTCACATGCCGCCAGCTCTGACCAAACGGAAGCTCAGAGGAGCTGGCTTGCTTGTTTGCTTGTGCTCGTCGGGGATTCTCGGGATCTCAACCTCCCTCAGATGGGACCCAGGCTCATAACCACACACCACGTGTTGGCTTGTACGCCCTGAGGCGTGGCTTTGACTCTCCCCACAACCTATCTACATCCTCTGTATCGTCCCCCCGTAAAACGCCATCCCCGGTCCATTCCCAGGCCCCCAGATATGCTGCCTTTTTCAGGAAGCTGGTTTCAAACACAGGCGTGTCCCGGCAAGGAGACTCGGGTCAATTTTCACCCAGGGCAGATAACACAGTACCGCCGTAACCCAGCCCATCTCGTCCTTAGCTCAATGAGCTACCGCCCTGTCTCCCGAAGAATTTTGCGGGGGTACCTCCATTGAGAGGCATGTCTGGGGAAGCTTGGGCAGATCCATTCTGTCACTGAAGAGCTCGGTTCATTTCCGCTGTACTGCGTACTTATCCCGTCCAGCTAGGCACTGACTCATGCTCGGGCGAGTTTCGTAATCGAGAGCTGTCGCGATAGCCCCCAGTTAACGCGAGGAACTGAGCGACGATACACCCGTTGATGGCATCGAGAAGTCCTACAAGAGCTAGTTGCTCCGGCGCTTGTGAGCCGGCGCGTTCTACGATATCAAATCCCCAGATTCCAGAACATCATGGCTCGCTACATGTCCAAGACAATGTTTTGGGACTGAAGACATCACAAGAACGCTTTTTTCAGGGGCAGAGGGGTCAAGGCAGGACTGGAAACAAGTCAGCGGGGTTCTCTCCGCGCCATTGCCGAACAGTAGTTTCGTTGAGTAAGACAACCAAGCAGAGCGCGACTGGACGGGAACCATGCATTATTGCTATTGTTGCCGGCACTGGAAACGCCATCGGTCTTTCGACCCCCGGCACACAGGCAATCGTTATGCAAGATCATCGCGTCTGCCCCGCGAAATCCGTCGGAAATTTTGGGCGTACCTGGAGGCAGCTGTGCTCTATCCCACTATGGTGCGGTGAGCGTACGATTCTCCGCATTTCACGATTCAGTCGCCATCGGACCACTTCATAGAACAAAGTCACAAATGTCTGAATCAAAGCCGACAGACTTGTTCTTCGGCTACTGTGTGATGGATAGGTATCCGTACAAACACGCGTACTGAGAACGGCAAATCGGGCGGCTTTTGCTCTTTGTCGGTACCCGCCAACAGGCAATCCACAACCTTTGCACCCTGGGTTCATCATTACGCCGCGTCTCGAGGGCCTTGTTGGGTACTTCGAAAAATTAACGATCCGGTATCTCAGCAAAATGGGCCAAGAGTTGGCAACCGGGAAGTGGCCGGCATTTCACCTGATGCTTTATCGGGAGGACGGGTAGCGCAGCAATCAGATGTCCTGGCCAGCCATATCCAAGCGTGGAGAAATCCGGGGGCGGGACAGAAGTGTGTGTTGCGGGAGACGACCTTGAAGATTTTCTCGTGGCTCTTATCTCTGCTGGGCGCATTTCATTTAGGCTGTTGATGCTACGACCCATTAGGCAGGGACAGCGATGTCTTCTTGGCTGAAGGCCAAAAGGTTTCCCAGCAGCCGACGCACCTCATCACGCTGTTACATATCACCACCGTCTTCGCGTGCCCTGAGCGTTTTACGAGAAAGTCTGATTCGGTTGAGGACCCAACC